CTATAAACCACATATCAGTCAGCAAAGTAGGAATTGTGCATGGTGTGGATGTCCTTCAGGTAATACTTACGCTGCCAGGCTGTACAGCATCAGAGTCCTTTCTCAAATATGATATTTTCCACGAGCATCACATCACTGACTGATCTTTTATAGACTAAATTTCCTTCCAGCCTTCCTTCTTTCCATCTATATTAGAGATATGCACAAAAAATACATGGCAGTAATACATAATCGCGTTGTGGATTAGTGGTTGTAACTAATCTTCATGGTAAATTTCCTGAGTAAGATATTACTTCCACTGCTCACTATTAACTATTATTGTGCCAATGATAAGTAACTCCTTGAATGGTATAATTTTGATGGTTTCAGTTAAAGGTTCAGTGTGTAATATTTCTGAGGATCTATTGACAGAAATGCAATATAAGATCCATAACTATGTTTTCCATACTGAACAATTATGTTTTTATTACCTTAGAATGAGCCATTTATATCTACATAAGGTTCCACCTTACACGGACGTCGCCACGTTGCGTCGTCATGTTTCTACAGTAGCTGAAAACGGACAAACAGCGCCACAGAGCGCGTTTCGTCACTGCGTTCTTCTGGTACTGCGTACTTCTGGTGAAATTCAGGCAGCGCAGACACTCATCACTATGAGTACTGAATACTTACGTTAGAAGAAGAAGTAGTAATAATATACTGCAGGGGTCGGCAAATAAGTTTTGTATCAGAGCTATATTTTCAACCATGAGAATATAACATGTAATATTGACTTACATCAACATGTTGTTTGGTTAGCTCAGTAGCAAACGTGCAGGACTCTCAACCGGAGGGTTGAGTTTTGATCCCACCTTGAGATAACTTTTTTTCTCTCTTCAACAAATGGATTCTGCAGCGAGTGTTTCTCAGATCACAGCATGTGCTGCACTGTTTTTGTTTCAGTGTTTGATCCACATCCGTCAACCTGCGGACGCTTTTTCATTCCCCAGTGTCTCCAGGCAGAGCACATTTAGAGGAATCACATTTTCTGACGGCTCTTTCAGAGGAGTGTCAAGCAGGCCACAGACTCCTTTAATGTCATTCAGCATTTTTCAAAGTAAAAGCTCAGTTCAACTCCAATACTGCACTACAGTAAACAAGCTTCTCATGCTTTTATTTTGTAGGCTAAACCACTAAAGTGGAAGTGATTATGTGAGTAACTGTTGCTGTCATGAATGAGATCTATTTCAGCACTGCAATCAAAGCATTTATTTATTAATATTTTTTGCAGCTATCAAAGCACCATAATCTGACCGCAGGCCAGATATTATTGTTGGCTGCAGTTTTGGCGAGGGTCCATAATCACAGAATGAATGTGTTCCCCTGTCAATGTTTGTATAAACTGAATCTAATGTGTGGTTTATGATGGACTGTGGTGCAGAAACAGTGACAGTGTTTCACACTCTTGGCTTACATTTCCCATGTTATCTGTCAGTGGCCAAGTCACAATAACATGTGGTTTTACTGATTATTTAAGTAAATATAATATCTAAATAAATCTACCTAAAGAAACCTCATTTCTTGACTGGCCACTCTCTGCTGTCTCAGAAGAGACAACTTTTGTGCTGTGTCAGCCACCGTAGCTGTCCTACGCTCTTTGAAAGGTCAGGGGGCAGCGGTAGACTGGATAGATGGTTGCAATTCACAGCCCTCACCACTAGATGCCACTAAAACTTAAACACTGTATCTTTAAATTAAGAGGCTTACAATATCACTGCCCCATCCATAGATCATGCAAGCATGCCTGACTATAATTATGTTTGTGTATTCCATTGAATGAATGTGTTGCTTAGATGCATTACGATGGCGTTTATGACAATGTTAGCCTTATTCTTTCAGCTCAGTTGTTTGTTGGCGTTCAATTCACTTTTAAGAACTTCTACTACTTCAAGGTCAGATTTGTTTAAGTTGCACTCAAACATGTTCCAAACATTGCTTGAGAGATTAAAATGTGATTAAGATTTCTCGTCAGGTTAAAAGCAAACTCACGCATTTGACATTTTTCAAATGCTTGCAAGTCACACATTAATTTTCTCACATAGTGAAAAACAAATGTGTAACTAATCACTAATTATCACAATATAATGTTTTTCAAAATATAAAAAATGTTAAATCAATATTCAATAAATATTTTATTTTATTACCCTGAATCATACGCGAATTAGGACTTAATTGTTTTATTAAGATTTTTATTTTGTTGAGGAAAAAGGACTGAAAAAAGATTTTACTTAATTTTACTAATAATTGCGTATTTGTTGACAAAGATTTTATCATAATTGTTTTGAATGTTCTACCTCAGATTTGTGAAGTGATCCACTCTTTGGCCTCAAATGTTTGTTCTGACCATAAAGAAGAGTTTAATTAACACAATTAACCATCAGGTATCTTCAACTTCCACTCAGTAGCTAAAATCAGCCTTTAAACTCAAAAGAAACGATGATGGTGATGATATTTATCCTGATAATTATCGATATTAAAAGAAATTAATCTTTTTATCGTGATAACATTTTTTTACCATATCGTCCAGTCCTACTGAAAAACAGAAGCTATTAAAGTCCAGGAGTTTATAACTGATTTAATTGATGTGAAAAGGTGCCACAATAACATTTAAAGAGGTTACTTCCCCAAACAAAAGACTCAAAAGAGAAGACTAAATCATGCTGCATTGTGTGCTAACTCAGCAGGGATTAAATGAAAAATGTTGATCTACAGGAAAAACATATCTGAAAGCAACACAGAAAGCCTCAGAGCTGCATATTTCTGTTATAGTTTTAGATTTTGAATTGGCACCTCCCACTTGAGTTTTGTGTTTGCCTTTACATGAATAAAAATACTGTATTTCCACCATAAATTAGTGCAGAAAAATTCACCAGAATGCAGGAAATGAACTGTTTAAAATTTCATATAATTCAGCATTGCTTAAAAATATTTTTATATATATTTTTTATATATTTCTTAAAAATAGTGTTGAAATCTTGTCTCATCTGGACCTCATGAACCCAATCTCGTGCCTCCTCTTGTGGGGTTGAGTGTCTCGTCCCGGGTTCCAGTTATATAATCTGAGTTTTATGGAGGTCTCTAACCTACTAACTAATGTTACCAGCGGAGATAAATAAAGAAATAAATACTAAAGAGAGAGAGAGAGAGAGATCATTGCTTATTACGTGATTCAACATTTCCCTCTCACACACAAGCAAACGAACACACACACAGCAAGTCCACTACTTGCCCAGATGTCTGCGATACAAACAAAGTTTAAGTTTCAATAGCCTGAAAATTTCCATCAGAGACTGTTGCTCAAGGAGAGACGTATTCTGCCCTTTCGGGTAGGTATAATATTAAAGCGTTATTATTTGATATTATTTATACTGGCTGCCAGCACACAGTAGCAATTATCTGTAGCATTCTACTAATTGGAGGATGCATCAAAAAGCCAATAATACTAAACAGATAAGCTGCATCCAATACAGAGTAATACAATAGCCTAAAACTTAGCTCATGTTCGGGGATCGCGGCCTCAACCTGTCAAAACTGTGCGCACGAGGATGGCTGATGGTGGAGAAGTGCAGCCATCCTGTCAGTCATGCGATGCGCAACGTGGTTCTTTCGTAAAGTATGTTAATTTCAGTATGTGTATCTTTTTAATGTAAATAATATGCTAGTAGGTACTAATTACAATGAAAAATACATTATTTGTGATTCACAGATGCATCATTTTACTGCTTCCATGGGAGCTCAGACCTCCTTACCCACTGGCTCCCACATAACACGAACCCTGGTCTCGTCACACTTGTGCTAAAGAGTGCTCAATTAGTGGTGGAGACACTAATCGAACACAATGATACTACAGCCACTGTTTCCTGCCAATAACTGGATTATTGCGATTATACAATGGTTATCAACAAAATAAAAGATCATCAAAATGTATTGTTGGGCAGTTCAGGGCATTAAGGTTGTTTATTTATCATATAAAACGCAAGGTTGTATAAAGTTTGTAGTCCCTTCAAGCTACATAGAACTTAAAGGGGCAATATGTAGTTTTCAGCAGCCACTTGTGGTGCGGTTTTAAAATTGCAACCAGGTGTGTGCTCGTACGCTTATTATCTGAATCTTGTTTGGGCCGATGGGCTTCAGCACATAAAACTTAATTGTTCTTTTTATTCTTACGTGGAGTTTGTGTTGTGCCGGTAGTTTTATGGTGTTAGTGGACTGCATTTCGTTAGCTGCGGTCAGTGTTGTTGTAACCTAGATTTCTACTGTAAAACATTTTTTTTTTCCCATGGACAGATTTAGCTACTACGTCTGACACTGCATCTCAACCACAGCTTCAGTTCCCAACATTATCTGAAAATTTTCCAAAAAAAGCAAAAGGTGGGGCAGTTATACTCTAAAGTTATTAGAAACAAATTCATATTAAACTTAATTTGAATATCATAATGTGTTGTGCCGAATTCTGCCTGCCTGCATGCCGAGAATTGCATGCAGAGGTGGGTGCAAATCTCGGCAGGTAGCCTACAACATCTGATCTGCCGAATTACGCATCCACCTCTTTAGGTCCTTTTCAGACACTTTGCTGTGCTCATTGATCAAACGGCGTTATCACCACTTATATTTACTGAATGTCAAAGATCGGTACTTCTGCTAAGTGTATTAAAATATTACAGACTCTAAACGTTCATAAAATATATAGCCTACTTCGAGTCATTTAACACCATTGATGGACCCCACTAAGAATATTACAGCGTTTAAAAGCAGTATTTGGAGGTGCATGCAATTCTCGGCAGGCAGGCAAAACTCGGCATAACACCAGTCCATGGTCCGGTCCTGTGTAACGTTACGCCGGTTTAAGTAAAAGCGTGACGATGTGGCACTGCTTTTTATGACTGGGTAATGTAGTCTTTTAAGCTATGCCCTTATTGTCAGCATTCCTCATAAAAACAACAATACCCATAGTTCCTAGCGTTCAAGCAACTTCTGTTGACATCTAACGTTTCCGGGGCCACTCACATGCGACCGACAGTCCATTCTACAAGGCAATTTGGAAGGTAGCTATTGAAATATAAAGTTTTACCTTGACTAATGGACTTCAAACTTGTCGCAGTTCGTATTATATTGACAGTTCGTCACAGTATCTAAGCTAATACGGCTGCGGAATTAGCAGACAAGCTGACAAGCTAACATTAGCTAGCAATACAGACTTTTTAGGCAACGTCTTTCATTTTGCTTCATTAAAGATTAGTAAAAGTGGCGTAACGTTAAGAAAAGTCATCGGTTGTGCAATAAAAAAAACGTTAGAACAGCATAATTTCCCTAAAGTTAACGTTAACGTTAACTCTCCTGTCGGAGGCGATAGCTTTAGGTCGTTAAACACCTGACTTCACCATCATTTTAGTATCATAACTTCCGTAACGGTACGTTTTAGGAGATAGAAGATAATTTCGGGTTTTGGATGAATCGAAAGTATCCACTCTTCTATTCGGCGCACACCCCATTTACCAAGCAGTCTTATTTGCCATAATAATTTAACGGTTAAAGCCGGTGTCACAGTTACTCTCCAGTAAACATAACGTTAACTAACTTCCTTACATTCTTTTACATTCATTTTTAAATGCCGATACGTGTTATGTTGGGATTTGTTGTTATGCCGAATACATACAAAGACCCTAAAGTTGTGTCACATTTGCTAATAATGTCCTACCTTATGTGTATGATTCTCGTTTAGAGGTTGCGATTTTAAATTGCCAGCCTTTCTGTATGGAGTTCAGGGTGGATTTAGATAATGATGTGCTGAGCTATTGCTTGCTATGCCAATCAGAAATAAACAGTACTTCAGTTTACTTTTTGTGTCTGTCTGTCTGTCATAGATATCAGCTGGAGAACCAGTGTATAGGTGAGAGCATCAGAGACGATGTCTCCTCCACGGCTCACAGGTGCACTGCGCTCCTTCTCCAATGTCAGCAAAAAGGAGGACTTTCCTGAACAGCTCTATGATCTGAAGGTGAGGCCGGCTAGTGGATAACTGGAAGCTAGTGCTGTCATAATATAAACTTGAATAACACAAGTGTAGTGTGTACAAAAAAACAAGAGACTAAAACAACACATTAAGCACTTTCACAGCACAGTGTTGTGTATATATATATGTGTGTGTGTGTGTGTTATATTTACTGAAAAATCTCTATATAGAGTTTTTAAAAAGCTATATAATATAAGCATATAAATTATCATGACATGGCAATGTGTTCTGGAGCTGCACATACTAAGTCACTCTCACACCGTGGACTGGAATCGTACACAATGATACTACAGCCACTGTTTCCCGCCAATAACTGGATTATTGCGATTATACAATGGTTATCAACAAAATAAAAGATCATCAAAATGTATTGTTGGGCAGTTCAGGGCATTAAGGTTGTTTATTTATCATATAAAATGCAAGGTTGTGTAAAGTTTGTTGTCCCTTCAAGCTACATAGAACTTAAAGGGGCAATATGTAGTTTTCAGCAGCCACTTGTGGTGCGGTTTTAAGATTGCAACCAGGTGTGTGCTCGTATGCTTATTATCTGAATCTTGTTTGGCCCGATGGGCTTCAGCACATAAAACTTAATTGTTGTTTTTATTCTCACATGGAGTTTGTGTTGTGCCGGTAGTTTTATGGTGTTAGTGGACTGCATTTCGTTGGCTGCGGTCAGTGTTGTTGTAACCTGGATTTCTACTGTAAAACATTTTTTTTTCCATGGACAGATTTAGCTACTACGTCTGCGGGTTTCACGTGGATTTTAAGCTTTGAGCACCATGTCAGCGACTCACCAGCAGAGCTAATGGAGAATGTGAGAGGGTCTAGTAGCTGAACAGAGTTCGGAGAACAGAGTAAAGTCCAAAAATCAAACTGTATTGAAAAAGATAGATGTTGGCTGATCATTTCCAAACTCCACAAAATGTTTTTATCTAATGAAATAGTCCGCTTCAATCTGTATTTGTGTTCTGCCTATGTAACGTTAGAGCTGATTTTTAAAGTAACCCTTTAAATTAAGCTTTTTCCTGGGTTAGCAGGCATTGGGGGAGGCCGATCATGATCTGTTAAGGACCTTTATGGCGTTGAGTGATGATCTGCGAGTTGGGGCTTCTCTCCTGCCTCTTTGTGTCTGCCAACTGACAAATATGTGGAATAAGTACAGTGTTGTGCACAACTTTTAGGCATGTGTGGGGAAAAAATGCTGTAAAATAAGATTGTTTTAAAAAATAGACATGTTAAGAGATTATATTTATAAATTAGAAGTAAGTAAACAGTAGGGCTGTCGCGAATTACAGCGCTATTGGCCAAGCAAACCGCAAAGGATGCACTTCTCAGCTTTGAGGAGACTATTCATTCTGAGCAAATCCAGATATGCAGCCCCAAACTGGTAAGGAACCTCCACCATGCTTCACTATTGCAGACACTCATTCTTGTACCGCTGTTCAGCTCATCGATGAAAAAGTTGCTTTATGCTGCAGCCAAACATTTCAAATATTGACTCATCAGTCCAGAGCATCCGGTGCCATTTTTCTGCACCTCAGTTCCTGCATAGTTGAGTCACTTGGCCTTGTTACCATGTCGAAGGATTTTTAACTGCAAGTCTTTCATGAAGGCCACCTCTAACCAGACTTCTCTGGAAGGTGGATGGTGTACGTTGGTCCCGCTGTTCTCTGCAGCTATGAGGTGAGGGCACTGCTGGACATCTTCCAATTGCGAAGGGAAGGAAGCATGATGTGTCTTTAATCTGCTGCAGTAACATTCTTTGGCCGACCACTGTCCTCACCGTTGCTTCTTTAGAAGAGCTTGGACAACACATCTGGAAACCCCTGTCTGGCTGGGAAAGACCTTGCTAATACAGTCCCTGACTTTGTGCAGGTGTACCTGGAAGAAGTGATGCTGTTTTGAAAGCAAAGGGTGGTCACACCAGGTACTGATATGAATTAGATTTTTCTTCTGTTCACTCACGCTGTATTTTGATTGCCAAAATTTAGATATTAACATGTCTAATTTTGAAAGCGTTCTTACTTTACAGCATTTCCCCACACCTGCCTAAAGCCTTTGCACAGTACTGTGTGTCATTTAAAGAAACACAATAACTAACAGCAGTGATACTATTTCTATGCAATTATAGTATATGGGCAGATGGGAAGGGGAGAATTGAAACTCTGGGAGAAAAGCGGGGAGAGGGACCGAGAAATCAAAAGGATTGGCAAGCAAGACATCATCAATCAGAATCATCCTTTTATATTGTTTTATAGTAGATTATCAGTGTGTTTGCTGCCAGATTTGCTTGTGGTTGTACCTACACCAGCTCGCTCTCTCTAAGTACAGTTGTTAACATTAGCGCCAAAAGGAAGCGGGCAATGCTTCCTCCTCCTGTGCGTCCCTGGACAATAATTATTTTACAGCCAGTCTGCACAGACAGGGACGATCAAGTGGTGGCAGGAGACAAAATGTATGAGGTAAAGGTATAAAGGAGGAACAAGAGGTTGAGGAGCGCGAGGGAGAGCAGCTTGTATAAATGTTACTTTAACTGCTGCAAGAAATACAGGACGCTAACAGGAAGTCATAGTCTTATGTTCTAAATGTCTAGTTGACCAATCAGATCGTCCTTGTTGTATAACTGTACCTATGCCACATTTTAAATGTTTCATCAGTCTGGGAGGTAGAAAAATATGGTTTTGTGTCAAGGGCATATGTCCACATGTACTATTGAAATTAAAGTGTTTTTTTGATGCCAAATTCAGAGAGCGCTTTTTATCACAGGGTGTTTGACATGTTTGAAAGCTCCCTCTGGTAGTGGAGAACTCAGAATGGATAATGAAGAGACTTAGAGAGTAAGCTAATTTAGCTATATTGACTGACCAGTAATAAAGTAAAAGATGTTAGTGTCAAGGTTTCTGAAACATAGACAAGAAACAAATCATCTGAAACAGAAACAAAAAAACGAGGCAGCACTGTTATTTTAGGTTTATAAAGTTATGGCCATATATCTCATTGCCTGAGAGTCACAATAATTCCCAGATTGGTACATGAATGAAGTTCCAACTTCCAACAGAAAGTTATGGTAGTTAAGATCTGATGCTGTTAGGTAAATTGGAAAAAACTGAGTTAAATTTATAGCGTTGAAACATCTGGAAGCAGAGGTAAGGATTTTACCGGGTTAGATATGTAGAGAAGGAGAGAAACAAACATTTCACACGTACCCAGAAAAAGAAATGCATGTAGAGCAGTATTAGGCAGATACCCACTGATAATTAACATTCAAAAGAGAGCACTCACATTTTTTTAATCACCTTTAAAGAAGATAACAAAAGCTCTGATTTATTCATCTCGTCTCGCCTAGCTTTAGTGGATCATAACATATCGGGTATGGAATTAATCTGCTGATCCGGTTCAAGATGAGAACAAACTTTTCTATGGATGTGAGTTTTTGAGCAAGGACCAAGGCCAAAATGTGGCCTGCAACATACTAGGCCTTGTTTTTAGTCGATTGCTGGGAACGCCTTTTGCTGTGTCTCCACGCATGCCCTAGCTGCATCTGTAACTGTCATTTTAACAGGGCTGATAAACTTTGTCAACAGGCTTAAAACTAAATGTACTCACCAGAGAAAGTGAACCGCCGAGTCTTTCCAACTTTTTCAACGGCGCTGCATAAATTCACACAGTGCCGTGGGTACGAGTCACTGTAACCTGATTGGCAGGTCGCCAGGGTAACGACTTGCTAATCATAGATAATCCCACCCTACTCTGCTTCCTGGTCTCTGTTCCTCTAAATGGGACCATAATTTACTAAATTAACATCATGCTGTGTTGAAGAAGACTTGAAACTAGCGACTGAGACCATAAACTCATCAGGAAAGAGTTTACTGAGGGAATAAATCAGTTGAGAAGTAGAAACATTTTACCATTATTTCTAACGGAACCGTGCTTCTTTTTGCAGCCAGAAGAGTCGCCCCCTGCTGGCCGTTCAATAGAATGCAGGTTTCAGGGAGTTTGCGGCGGTTTGCTGACCGGAAGCTTCCCGCTTGTTTCTTTGACGTTGAACAGTCTACTGCTGTCTGTCGAATATCCAACGTAAAACTAACTTCACCGCGGTGCAAAGCGTCGCCCCCTTGTAAAGTGTGGAATTTGCGACCCAACGGAATAAACGATAACCATAATTTTGACTATTACTATTAAATTAACTTTATTTATTGTTATAATATTATACTAATACACTCATAGTTCCTCCTCCAGGTTGTGGATCAAGCCCAAAGGATACTGGGGCGCCGCCATGTTGATTTTTATTTTTTTTTAACCAGCGGTACCAGATGTGACCATATTTAAACGGCCGTGTGTGGAGCTAGCTTGGTCTTTTTCTTTGTTCGGTCATTAAAGTTTGGCGAAAAGTCATGGAAATAATTCATTGGTCAAAATGTGTATGAACCCTGTGTCTTGTGATTGACAAGTCTCTACCATGGCAACATGTCAATCAGGATAGAGACGGCTTGTATCCGCTACACTGTGTAAATTTGATCCGCTCTGTGGAGAAGGCGTCGGCTGTTCCTATTTCTAATAAGTATATTTAGTTTTGAGCCTGTTTTTCGCTGGTCAAAATTAGCAGTTAATATCACAGTTAATATGAATTACGGATGCACCTTGCTAACCAAGCTAGCAAGCGTCATCCTCTCGTCCAAATATGGTCGCATCCGGTCACGTCTTTTTAAAAAAAAATCAAGATGGTGACATTTAAAATGCTGAACTCAAGGCTTGTAGTCCACAAACCAGTGGGTGATGTCTTTTATGAAGTCTATGGTCCTGACACTACACTCGCTCTATCTTTCGCTTCTTCGCGGTCTTTGCCTCCCTCGCTTCTCTCAACTGGAGGAACCTAATATTTACAAGTATGCACAAGCTTTTGTGCTACATGACTCCATTCATCTGTTAATGGATCATATAATATTGAATAGACAATATTCAGTGTCAAAGAATATTTATGGCTATTGGCTAAGAACAAACAGAATCATAACTGATACTAATTTGATATCTCATTTGAAGGTGGCTGAAAAAAAGCCAATCAAATGAAATCCCTTGTATCTTCTAATGTTCAGGGTCTCTCTGGGTTTTGTTGAGATGAACCCTGCCCAAAATGACTGAACTTGCAGTATCTATTGTGAGAGGGAAAAAAAATGAATGTAAAGTACTTGATGATTTTTTTTTTTTAAATGAAATGGGAAAAAAAGTAGTTTCTAGTATTTTTCTTCAGTTTGCTCAAAATGATGTATTAGAATCAGCTGGAGTTCAAGGCAACCACAGAAAGCTGGCATAGTCTTGATTCATTTTACAGCAAAAAACCCCCAAACAAATAAGATGAACCGCTTTATCTCAGTGACTGGTCGCACCCCATCCTGTGTTTACTTAATGTCGGCACAATATATTTTGCAAATTGTGAGCTACACTAGTCTTAGCTAAGGCTATGTGAGCAATTAGAAATACCAGTGATTATTAGAGCAGTGAGTGCAAGTGCTCTCTTTTTCTTGAAATGTAATTGTATTTATCCCTGTGGCTCATGTTAGACCAAACGACTGAAGAGAAGGGAGCTGTTTGCCAGAGAGGGCCTAACGTGGCAGAAGATTGTCCATTTCTGCACCGAGCATCAGGACAAAGCTAAGCGGCAAGCTGCCAGTCAAGAACTGAGGAGCCTCCTTCTGGCAGCCAAACAGATTGGTAATTAACTCTTTCATTGTAATTTCTTACATTATATCATATTAATATTATAGATATTTCCATGGGTTTGTGTTACACTGATTTCTGTACTTAGACTACCTATAAACATGCATATAAAGAACTAATTACCACTTACAAGCAGCTGAAATTGTGATGTTATTGTTTTTGTGCCTTTGTTAGAATGGCATTACAAATCATTGTGTCATTGAGTTAAAAGGAAAAGCACTTTGTCAGGCGGTCTAGTTAAAAGAACAGTTCACCCACATTACTAAAAACATCAACAGCACGACGGCATCCGATTAGAAAGCACCTGGTGTTCTGCCAGCGTAACACAGACAAGGTAACAGTAACAGCAACTTTAGCATTTAACTGAAATCAGGATTGATTGTTGAGTTGAAGCCAAAGTAAGCCGCAGTCCTCAGCTGAAAATGTGACCACGTGCGTTGCTTGTTCTCCTGGTTGGGCCGTGAGTTTGGTTTGTAAAGACACGGGAGCTGCACCTTAGTGTAACTTGTATAGTACCCGGGTGATGTTTGTGTTGGTAAAGCAGCTGTCTGGTTGTTGGTCTGATGTTATGACACACTATGAATTTCAGAAAGGACGAATAAATATCTATCATCTATCAACGAAAACAGCTGATCCCGTTACCGTGGAGGGAGGGTGCCGCCGCCGCCGCCGCCAAGCAAAGGACTTTTTAAATGACGCATCGATGAATCGTTGAAATAATCTGTAGAAGTACTTCGAGTACTAAAATCATCGTTATCTGCAGCCCTATAATTTACGCACTTTAAAAAGATTTATTAAAAGCTTCTTTCTTTCTTCACATGTTTATTTACAGCATTATATGTTGATATTTAGATCATAATAGGCTGTATATTAATGTATTGGGAGAAAACCGGTAGTTCTATGTAAAAGTAGGGATGGCTCGAGACTGATTCCGATACCACAACTTTGAGGATCTGCCGATACCAATACTGATCTGATACAGTCTTTGGGAGTCTTCTCCCAAGAAAATTTTACTTTTTCCAATGACAAATATGCAATTTACATCATTTGGGACCATTATTTTTAGCATATCTGTGAACAAATAGTTGGAAAAGCTAGAGCAGATAATAAATAAACAACAACCAGAAAGCATAAGGACTAAACTTGATAAAGAATTTGTCTGGGGAAAAGTTATTCAGTTTTAGTTTCCATCCTTTCGCCACAATTATTTTACCTTCATGGCACCGTACCCAAGCCTTTTTGGGCTTCACCTCCTAAGCCTCATAACAGCAGGTGTTAATATGACCTCATAATCATTATAGATAGGAGTGTTCATGTTTGCCTTTTGTGTCTCGATTTACAGCTTTTGACATTTATCTGTAGAAATTAATATGAAAAATAGGCAACATGAGAACCACCTAACTTAATTACCAAGCATTTTGTTTCAGGATTGTACATTACTCACGATGTGCTTACTTATACAATAATACAATAATAAAATCAAACACAGGCTTCACTATAGAGAACAATAATGCAAAGTGTGAAAATATTCAACTCACGCGAATTCCTCTGCGTTGCCTTTGCGTCGCCGGCCCTGACCCCCTTTGCGTCGCTTCGCGTCACCCGAAAGGAAAACGCGGCTCTGCGTGTCTTTGCATTGACTTTGTATGTAAACTCACTGCCCCAAACGCTCGCTTTGCTTTTGGTCTGAAAGCACCTTTAGCTCAGACAATCCCTGCGTGTGTTAATCCATCCTTTCACCCAGATTCTTTGTCTTTATAATAACAAACAGCTGTTTCATGTGTAGGTTTGTGTCAGTTCCCGTTTCACATTTCACGTGTGTTTTCTTGACAAAACGTAGTCCAGTGTCTTGGAGATCAGTGTCGGGTGCCACTGTCAGCTCCTGTAGTGTGTAGTGTGAACGCCACACCGACTTATAGACTCACGTCACAAGATGGCAAGTTGTGCAGTGCGAACCGTGTAGTCTGCACGAGCCTTTAATGTTCACACTTGATAGCACCTCAATGTCATAACTTTAGTCCAATATCACCCATGATGTGGGAGCAGCCACATTAGCCTTGCAACATGCTAACACCAAGTTAAACAACATAAAGCTTACAGCTTTCAAGTTGGAAATCAGGTCACATCCGGGTATCAATCCATCCTTGAGCTTAAACTGTCACTGGCCGTTGTTAAAAAAGCAGCCCGTAGTAAATTATACAAACGCACATGTTGCCATCAAAAATGAACTTTATCCACGCAGCTCCCAGGAATCTCAGAGACTGATATTCTAAATCCTGGACAAATCAAATGTCATGGTTGTGTGTTGTTCATAATGTGAACCGACCCTTTAACCCACGCTATCTTAAATTAATTAATAAATAATATCATAATATAAGGCGCTCCACTCCAAACATTTTAATTGCCTTGTGACATAAATAATTGAACAATACAGTATATAGGCTGCAGCTCTGTTGCTTCACACTGTGTCAAACAAATAGCAAAGTATATACAGTCAAGAATAAAAATGAGAAACCTGCCTTTCTGACCTGCCCTGCTCTGTGTTTGCTGTTGGTCTCACCTGCTGTTTCTGCCCTAGCTTGCTCTCTCACCGCAGCATGTAGGCTGCTGTACACCCCCTCTCCTACATCTCTCTCTTCATTAGCTGCAGCTATCCCTTCCTGGCCGTCTTGTTGCTTCATAGTATTGGGCAAAGCAGTTCTTTTCAGATGATTTGTTCATGAAAAGTTCAGCGAGTGAGAGAAAAAGCGGAGGGGGGGCTGAGCGAATCAATGCAGCTCTACAATGAAATAAGATTTTAAATTGTAAAAAAAAAGAAAATCAATGTTGTGGTGGGCCAAATAAGTCAATGTATGGGAAACACTGCACTGTTAATATCCAGTAAGTCTCTGGCACTGAACCACTTTCTACTCCCAACCTTTGAGCCATGAGAGTGCCCTGTACTTCCACTGAGTGCTGAGTTTTGAGTGAGTCAGATATTGTTGCAACTTGCAAATTGACTGTTGAGTCAGTGTTACCCAAAAGCCCTGTTAAACCTAAATAGTCATATTATAAAGATGCACTTGACATTTGGCATTGGTTTTGATCTGATAACTACCAAAAACTCTGGACTGCACTGGAAAAAAAAAAAAAAAAAAAAAAGCTTCTGTTACATATGAATATGTTAAACTGCTGAGAAATTTACCCTGACATTCCACATCAGTACCTACCTTTGAGCGAATGTACCTTTTTAAGAGAAGTAACAACACGTCATGATAACAACAGCTCGCCACACAAGCTGCCAACGGAAATGTCTGTCCCACATCAGTGCAAAAAGTCATTTCATTCATTTTAAGAAACAAAAGTGTGTCACAATAAAAGGCCCGGTAGGATTCTGACGCTACATGACGTGTAATTCACTCTAGGGGGGCGTTCACACCTGAAAGTCGGCACCAAGGTCTGAACCAAAGTTCATGTTTTGATGCTTTCGCTTAGTTTTGCTTTGGTTTCACACTGAAGTTCTGCCACGGCACTAAAGGACTTCACATGACAGACTTGCGTCCTGTCGTGTCATCTATGTGAGCTGCGTCTCCCTGTATTTGACATTGATTGGTTTATTAAACAGCGGGTATCTTTGAAAAGAATGAATGGATAAAAAATTAATATGCATATTTGCCACCACTATGTTGTTGTTGTTGTTGTTATTATTATTACTACCTGCAGCACCAACTATACTGAAGGCTAGTCGCAAGTATCAACGTCCTCATGTGCGAACATTATAACGTCGCCGACAGGACAGGAGGAGAAGACCCCAAGTGATCCTTCTGCACCTCAGTTTGAGGAGAGACCAAAGAGATGGGTGGCAGCTTCTATAATAGCTGTTTGTCTGAAAAGATGAGCTGTCACGGGAGATTTAGAATTGTGTCCTTATTTCAGTGCATTTCTCCGTGCATTTGTTTGTTTCCTGTTTAGACGGCAAACGTTGAACTTCCTGTAAATGGTCTGAAAGTCCGAAGCATCCAAAAAATGCTTTCACACCAGAAACGAACCGAACCATGGCTCAGTTTGATCCGGACCGATTCTACCTCTTTTCGTCGGACCAAATTTTGTCTCTTTGGTCCAGACTCCGGGGGAGGTTTCAGACCTGTGTTTTTTGGTTTGGACAAAACTGAAAAGTCCGGACCAAACGAGGTAGGTGTGAAAGCTCCTAGGATTTCGCAACCTTTTTTGTGAATGTTGCGGTCTAAAATAGCGGATTTAGATTTTTTGCCTGAAGGTAGATGTAATATTTTTAACTTTAGAATTTTAGTTGAATCCTGTAACAGTCCCTCCAGAAATAACCCTTACCCTGCATATTTAAACCAGCTTACCTTAATTCTTTCTTGCAGTTGACCGAGATGCAGCATCCCAGTGTCTCAGTGATTTGTCTTGTCTGACGTCCGCCATGCGTTTCTGCCATTCTCAGCGTATGTCTTGCAGTGGCAAGTGTTTCTCAATAGACCATTTCCACAATATTGCACGTTTTGTTTTTCGTAAAGAAGATCTGGATCCTGTTTTCATGGCCCTTTGCTGTTGTTTTTGTCGGCAAATGTGAGACGTTGGTATCACACATGTCTGCTGCCACTTGTAAACAAGGAAGGAAAACGGTGATGATACGTCAAATTTGCGGAAAACTTGCGGTGACTGGTCGCGCTGAATTCGCAGGGATTTGTTGAATTTGTTAATAGCTGCTAATCCTGGAGGGACTAAATGCTGCAACAAAAACTAAGCCTGGCAAAGGAAGCAGATCATGCTTCATACTAAAATATGACTAAATTTACTTCCAGTCTGTACATGCTGCCTCTTCAATTTCAAGTGCTGAACTGCACGAGTCAATTATGTGGCTCTCTCATGAAAGCCTGTGTTGCTTTTCATTTCATTTACTTGTCTCTCCATTCATGGCAGTATTTTTTTTTCTTCTCAATTGACAGTCAAAAGTAAGAGTTTTTGTTGTTGTGATGCTCTCCAATGCTTTA